CGGGCGCCGCTGGTTGGCGGCGGGGGGACACGTGAGCGGGGAGGCGGCGGCGGCAGCGGCGGCAGCGGGAGTTTCCCCGACAGCTGGAGGTTGCGGCGGCGGCTCCTCCTCCCCGGGTCCCCGCTGGAGCCCAGAGACCCCCCGCGCTCCTCCTTATTGACAAACGCACAAAGGGCCGCGCCGGGGCCGGGCCGGGGACGCGTCTGGAGCCGGCATGGGAGACAAGAAGAGCCCGACCAGGTAGGGGCAGCGGCGGCGCTTTCTCGTTCCCTCGGGCCCTCCGGGAGCGCGGGACCGGCGGCGGTGGCGGCGGGGCTGCCCCGGGGGCGGCGGGGGCGTCGCGGCCGGTGCTGCCCCTGGCGCGCGTGTGTCTCCGCAGGCCGAAGCGGCAGCCGAAACCCTCCTCGGACGAGGGGTACTGGGACTGCAGCGTCTGCACCTTCCGCAACAGCGCCGAGGCCTTCAAGTGCTTGATGTGCGACGTGAGGAAGGGCACCTCCACACGGTGGGTCGCCGGCGGAGGGGGAGCGGGGGCGGCGGGGGAGCGGCTGTGCCGCCGTGACAGGAACGGGGGCCGGGGCAGCCGCGGCGCATCCCCAGGGTGTGAGGGAGGGCGGCCGTGACAGGAATCGGGTCTCGTTTATCGGCGGTGGGGGTGGGAACGCACAGCCTCCTCCGGCCCGGCGCTCCTCGGTGAACCTGACCCAGCCGTGCGCCGGCCTATAGAAACAGATAATAAATACCAGTAAGGGCATAATTGCCTGCACAGCCTAACCCTGGAGAGACTGTGGCCCTCTCACGAAGAACCATCCCCTGGGGAGTACCTGCTAAGACATTCACCCTTTAATTTTTTTCTTTTTTTCATTTTTTTTCTATGACTTTAACTTTGCCTCATAACCCCTTTGTTTTATTGTTATTAGTATTATTTTAATTCGCTTTTCGTCACAGAGCATCACCATGCTATAAGGGGGGCAATAAGGGGTGGATTATAACCCTTCAGTGTTTAGAGAGGAATTGTTAGCTGAATTGTGCTGTATGGAATTGCCTCCCTGTGCAGCTGTGACTTCCCAGGAGGACCTTCTCTCTATACACCAGTCAGAATGCTTGCGGTGGATTAAGTGGTTCCTGTGCCTGCCGGTGGCCTAAACATGCGTGCTTGGGGAACGGAGGCTTTTTACAAAMGAACAGAAGTGCACTTATAGCCGTGCATGCCAACGGAGGAGAATGTTGCTCAAGAACCCTTTCCTACCGTTGCCGTACCTATGGGTCAATCCCATCAGCAAGGGAAGTTTAAATGGCAATCAAGTTGCAATCCTATCAAAAGCCACAATTACAATGTAGATATTGGCCAAAGCAGTGCTGAGTATGACTTGCAAGAAATGTTACACGTTTGAAATAATTGTACCTGCAAGGTTGGGACCAATTACTTGACAAAATGATTACTCTTGATTTCTGGAGTARGTTTCCCTGACTTCTAAAAATTCAGAATGAATATTAAAGGCACTTTTCATAACTTCAGTTTTRAACGTTAGTTGATTTTTTTTTTAACAAAGGAAGTCAGTGAGGTAAATATGCCAAGAGGGAATTGCATCTGTCACATATATTATGATTCCCAGTTATAACAATGGCATMATGTTTATATCACAGAGAGGTATGTACAGGTTGGTAATGTTCAGCAAAATAAGACTGCTGAATTAATGTAAAGTCTTTAAAAACAGCATGAAAAAAGGCTCTTTAACATCCAGTCAATTTAAAATTATGTTTTGTTGCATTGGAAACTCAGCTGCATAAAAGCATTGAAAATTGACAAACAAACAAAARGTGGAGCTGCTGAGAAACAAATATTTCCATTGCTTTCAAGTTTCTACTTGAATTCATCTTTTAAATAATTTTGTAAAAAAATGTCTGTTTTTTTTTTGGTTTCCACTTTCTCCCTGAAAGTGACCTGGTGTGCTAACTGTAGTTTATAGGTTGATTTTTCTTTCTCTAATTAAACTCCGTAACGATGTGTACCCAAGTAAGTTTATGGGATCCTTTTTCCCTTAAGGTTTAGATTGGTTGCATCTTCATATGTTTATAAAGTCCAGGTTTTACATATGGCATGAGGTAGATAAAAGTTGGGTTTAGCCCAGGCTGCTTTTGTCTCCAATTCTGACATATGATTTGATCTAGTAAGTAGACCTTTGTGTCTATGGAGAGAATCATTAGGGTGCCAAAGAGACACAAAAGGCCAGTTGGGTGGATTTTTTKATTCCTTTTTTTAAGGATCTGGAGTCCAAGTGAGCAGATTATTACCTTGATAAAGCATTTGCCTATAGGACGAAATGGTTTTCATAAACATGAGGCAGAAGAACAATATTACCATATTTTGATGGTGCTGAGAATGCATTATTTATTTATTTTAGTCTTCCATTTTTAAGCTTGATGTTAAGATTAAGTTGATGCTTCAGCACGATTGTTGCTGTGCAGTGATTCTTACAATTTTTGACTGTTTTTTCTACTGATCAGAGCTTTGTCTCTAAGACAATGGAAAATGCTACCTTTTTTTTTTTAAAAAAAATTCAGAGAAATCTCTTTGTGTTGAAATGTGTAAAACTTGATTCTGCATGTTAAACTTCACTAAATGCAACCAGATTTGTGGGCGATCTTACTGAAGCTAGATGGGTTTGAAGGCCACTGGAAATCAGGTGCGAAGTTGATTAAAACTTTTTTTTTTTTTAATACTGATTATGCACATTTAACTTTTCAGAAATATTTTCAGGTAATGGTAGGGTTTGTGGGTGTTTTCACTGTTGAATAATTTCTTCACTCTGAAAGAGTTATCTTTAGTGCCAGAGGCAAGACATGGATTATATTCTTTAAGGACTAGTAGAATTGTTAAGATTAGTGCAAATATTTTTAAAGATTTCTTGATTGCATTTTATTTCTAGACTGCATTTTCATTGTAGATTAGATCATGGAGTTAAATTAATCTTGTCTATGGCAGTATTGTATTGACGGGTAAACTGAGCTGTACTTGGAGGGGGATGTCCCCAGGGAAATCCTGGATCAGCAGGAAGTGGTGTAACTGATTCCCAAAATGTCACTCTTTTCTTTGGTTTAGTACTAAAGAAGTGCCCAGCATGGTGCCAGTGAGATGTGTCACAAGTCAGATCTAAAACTTAGGTCATGCCTACCAGATGGAGATCCCTGTGCCTTTTAGTCTACAACTGTTGCAAGACATTAATTTGGTAGTGTCACTGAGGAGCTAAACTCTCCCTGTAGRCGTGGTTTTAGTATTACTTTCTAACCTAAACTGTTCTGTTTTGTTGSTTGGGTACTGAGAAATTACTATGTTCCTCTTGATAGGAAACTACTCTGAGTATAGTAATTTTCTACATGTGACCTTTAAAACATTTTGAAATCTTTCTAGATGAAAGTTGTTATATAAATTTAAGGAACACAGGACTGTAAGAATTATTCCTTACTTGGATAAATCTACTGAAGTTCATTAGAAGCACAAGTAAGGAATACTGAATAGAACCCTAATGTACTGTGTTATAGAGGGAACTGGTAACAAACTCTATATTTAGGTTGCCTAATAGTTTCCATTATAAAGATACTGCACGATCTTTTTGAGAAGCTTTGTTGTTTACGAAAGCCATTGAAGTTGGGCAAGAGGAAAAGTCCTAGGCTAAATAAGTGGTCTGATTTCCTTGCCCCATAAAATCGTTAAAGCTTTACTGAGACTAAAATCATGAAAATCGTCATTCCCCCTCTGTCACTCACGTTGTACAGAAAAGTCTTTGCTAGAACACTGAAAAAGCCCAGACTGGAATCATGTAAAAGCAACAGTGGCAATGAYGGTGCACTGAAAACACGGAAGGGAATTGTATGGCTCCTGGAGAAGTTATAATGGGGTTGCTGAATTTGGTCTGACTGTCACAATTGCTGCTTTGTCAAAAGAAAGTTGCCTCCATTGGCAAGCTACCATTTMTTTTCTTTCTTTTCTTCTGTTCTTCATGGCACTATCTGAATCAGGAGTGTACCAATACTGGTTGACCTTCAAGAATTGGGCTGGATCCTTGGACAGACCTTATTGCAGCAAGCGTTTGCTCCAAGTTTGTCTGTCCTTCAATAACTGTTTGGATTTTGCTTTCCTTGCCAGCTAACACCATTAGTCACTGTAATTCAGATGTGTTGTAAAGCTGAAGATTAAGAGTTTGTGTTGCTGGGAAGAAGTACACAAGAGGGTTGGCATTCTCTCTAAAGGAATGCATGTTTCCTACTCTCTGCTGCCTTCTAGGAGGCTGCATCACTGCCCTGTTGTCACCTCTCTGCTTCAACTTCCTCAGAAGTGTTATTAATGCTCTTGTTATTCAGTTAGCAATAGCATCCAGATATAAAATTACCTATCACTTTGCTTTCCTTCATGTGGTTTTTATGCATGTTGTCTGATCTCTAGTTGCTAGTCTTTTTTCCATGCTATGACAAACCACTTCTTTCAGTGTGAATGGTGAGCATCCATGGCAGTGTAATGAGAGCTAGAGAGGAGCTGCAAATACTGTCTTTTTAAACTTTGAAATGCTTGTTATGATATTCTACTGTGTAAACACAGGGAAAAAAGGTTGCAGAGGTGTGTGATCAGTTTTGCCTTTTCAGGCTAGATAAAATTCCATGATTTTTAAATTAGGAAAAAGGGCCAAATTCTGAAGGATATTTTCACTAATGGTATTCTCTTAGCTAATAGGGAAAGATTTGTTACACGGAAGTGTATTTTGTGATCGTTACGGTTTTGTTATATTTTTTAGAACTACTTTTATATACTTTATTTGAATTCAGTAAAAACTTAATCTTGCCAYGAGTCTGAGTCTCATTGCCTGCTATTCAACCCCATTTTTTTGTTTTTTTCACTTTGACTGGGGGAAAGGAGGGAGAATGAGGAGATGAGACAGGTACAAATAACTTCTGTGAAGTTTTGTGGGTTTTTCCTTTTTTCTTGGATTTAGGTTGTTTTCTAAAAGGGTATTTGATACATGTGTTGAGTGAGGTCCTGTGTGCAATGTCATTTATAAAATAGCCCCTGAAAGTTGTAGGCAGAATGAGAAAGTCATGTTAAGTCAGGCTGAATTTTTGTGGATTTGAGATCTGTACCTCTTAACATCCTTTACTGCCAAAGTAGGGATATATATATAACCAGCTGAATGGGGACGTRGCTTCTGTGTCCTATGATCTATTGATCTTCATCACTGAATCATTCCTTTTGTCACTGGTTATGGTGTGAAAAGCCAAATTTAAATCCCACAGGAGGGTGTGAGATACAAGGAACAGGGATGCAATCTTTGTATGTTTCCTCGGKTTTTGGTCTGTGCTCCTTGACTGTGCCTGAGAGTTTGGCTGTCTAATATGTGCATGTATTTTGTAATCATTTCTGATACTCTCCTAAGTATGAATTACAGGTCTCTACTTGGAACTGTCATGAGTTTGTTTTATGCTTTGAAATGTATAAATAAAATGTTTAATTTT